TGTATCTCAGTATGTAGTGTCTCTACTTTAAAGAGTCCTCTCCTGCTGATGTTCAGGTGTATATCAGTATGTAGTGTCTCTACTTTAAAGAGTCCTCTCCTGCTGATGTTCAGGTGTATATCAGTATGTAGTGTCTCTACTTTAAAGAGTCCTCTCCTGCTGATGTTCAGGTGTATATCAGTATGTAGTGTCTCTACTTTAAAGAGTCCTCTCCTGCTGATGTTCAGGTGTATATCAGTATGTAGTGTCTCTACTTTAAAGAGTCCTCTCCTGCTGATGTTCAGGTGTGGGAGAGAAACTCAGGGATGCTTCAGGCCATTTACCTGCACTAAAACATAGAGAACACACCACAGGAAAGGGAACACCTCAAAAAGCAGAATAAGGCCTCTTTAAAATGTGTGTCCACTCTTACCTCAGAGTTTGACAGCAGGTCAAAATGTGTTTCTGGTTGTCCTGGAAAACACTTTTGTTGCTTTTCGACGTGACTAACATTTGCAGAGCAAGTGAACACCTCACACCTCAGCTAAAATGACTCTTTTACAACTTGCAAACACCAAAGTAAGTGTTGAACAATGGCTGCTTGCTTCTTGAGTCCTTTGATCAGTTCACGTGTTTCAGTGACTGTCTCTCTGTCTTCCTCTAAAAAGCAATGGTGGTTTTATTGCAACTCCAGCCTGAACTGAAGGTAGAATCCTGCTGTCTTTGCACAATGACTAACTCTTAAAATTCCTCTCCAGGTTTCAATTACACTGCCTCCGCACTGACCTAATCCCTTAAATATTAGACAGTGGGCATAGCTGCACGCAGTGCTTACTTTGGACTCACTTTGCTGCCTTGAGAAGGACATGTGCTCTTTGGCCTTTGAGACAGTGAGTCTTTAAAAGGCCATGTTTGAATGTTTGGTAAGTGAATTAGTCGAACAGCACTCAGAGGAAAAGATAAAGGATATTTTCAAACTACTTTCTCGATCTCTCTGTGGACAAATAACATCATTACACAGCTTTAACTCATAAACATTTTTATTATAAAACTCTCACACATGGAAGGCATCACTCTGAAGATGAGACGAAAAACTGAAATCTCTAAATCGGGGTTTTGCGTGCACAAAATCTGAACTACGTTTGTGTTTATGATGAGTTGAATGTGTGTAATAAGTGACCGTGGTTTATATCATTGTGAAATATATACACATTCTTCATATTCTAGCTTCATAATTTAACATTTAGAAACATTTCTGTAAAAACTTCATCAGAAAAACACAGATTAGTTTTGACAATTTCAAGTGGCAAAGACACAAATTGGCAGCTTCATTAGGATCAAAACTAACGAAAACACTGATTTTAAGTTCCCTCTTTGCTAAACAGCTTAATAGTGGACGAGTGAAAAACTGCTGTTCAAAACATACTAAATAAAAGCCTTGTGTTTTTGAACTGTACTCAAAATCTCTCCTTTATTCAGTCTGAGTTTTGTCTGTGCATTTCTTCATCAAGCACTTTCCTTCATGGTAACGTTGCTCTACATGAAGCCTCTTGTTACAATCTCTCAGGCTTCTTTAACGAACACTGTGTGGCACAAAACCATTAACATACATTCAACCCATGTGTGAAAGCGTGTCTCTTTCCCCACATTCATTTCATTATTCTGTTGCTTTAATCAGATTCAATAAGGCAGGCCTTGTGTTCGCTCTGGCAATCCTTAAAAAACACAATATGGCTGCTAATATCAATTATTTCCCTTATCGACTGATCAGTTGATCATTTAGGGATATTGTTTGGTCGTTCAAATGTGAGAATGTAGAGAACATGTCCATTGAAGTTACTCAAAAGTCTTGTTTTGTCACATGTATCCCCTTTAATGTGACAGAAATCAGAGAAATCTCCATATTTATGAAGCTTCACGGCAGTTTCTTTCATTTTGTTGTGAAAAAATACTGTGAGTGATTCTGTTTCTATCAATCCACTTGTGTCTGCAGCTCTAATCCATAAAAAGCACATTCTTTTATTGAGTTAGATGAATGTGAATCCCATGCAGAAGTGAAACAGCGTCCGTCTCGGAGCCGGACAAACTCCAGGTGTGATTTGTTGACCTGCATCACAAACAGTCTTTTCCTGGCCGGTTGCTGCAGTGTGAAAGCAGTCATAAAGTCACACGGGGGTCTTTTTAAGGCGTGAAAGTGGGCAGGACGTAGAGAGGAAGAAGAGGGGGTCTCAGGAAAAGTTGTATAAAACAATCTCACTTCGGGGGGAGGGGCTGCTTGAGAGGCACTTCAGCTAATTTCACTACTTGATCCTAAAACCCCTCGCCTTGTCCTTTGACTGTTCCCACAAATGTTTGAAGTGTGGAGGCCCCTGAAAGTGGAGAGCAAACACAGACTGGACGGATCCCGTGTTTGTCTAAAGTCTTAATAAAGCCACGCTCCAAGCACCATTGAAACCAAACAAACAGGATCTGTTTAAAGGCACTCAAACTTGGCAATGCTCTGCAACACAGTCTGCCGCGGGTCACTTCCTCTTCCTCTCATCATCATCATCTTGTCAACAGAGCAGGGGGAAAAGCAGCTTTTCTGAGTGACATGTGCTCAAAAAACATCAGATTTACAATGCGAATCGTACAGTTGTGGAAAGCATACAAATCTCAGCCCTGCAACTAAAATGGAATAGAAAGGAGGGCCATGGAGTGAAGAATATATTCCTTTATCCACCGTTTGAGTCCTGCAGGAAAGTGCCGTGTCACTTTCAAGCTGGACTCTTCAAGGCTCCCTAAAACTGAGATTATTTTGTCCTTTTTAAATCCATTTAGCCGTTTTCTTAGTACAATATCCGTGCTAGAGATCATCATCAGGCTGGTCTGAAACAACAATGTGCTCACGGTCGCTTTGCAACTAAAATGGGAAAGCAGGAAGGCTCTGGGGTGAAAAAAGATCTCCCTTTCATCCACCATTTGTGTCCTGCAAGCTCTCTCAAACACAGATTATGTGTCCTTTTTAAATCCCAATGTTCTCAGTACAGTATCCGTGCCAGAGGAAGAACCAGGAGCAGAATGAGGCTGTAAAGCCCGTGTGAAGCAGAGTTATGACCCACCTCCTCGTCTCTGTCAACTTTAGGGTCATAGTCTTCATCCTCGTAGAAGTCGTCCACATCCGGCTGGTCTGAAACAACAATGTGGTCTCCTATGGCGCAGAGTTTGCTCATGTTCTCCTTCACCACTTCACAGAAAGGCCTCTCCACCCCATCGCAAACACAGCGGTTCAGCAGCACGCCGTTCGGGATGAACAGCATCTGCTGGATGGTGGCTTTGCACTTGGAGGAGCATTTCCTGCCGTTGAACAGCTGACCACAATATGATAAATAAGCTGTAAGAGAGGTGTGGCATCTGCTATCCTCCTCACAGCGCTGCCTAGCCTCCATGCATCCGATTCCCCCTCCATCGCTCGGATATCTCTTCGGTAAACACGGCTCTATGGTGCGTTTGGCCTTCACACACTCCTGATCCTGTGCACAGTCACACGTCTCCAGATCCGGACCACTTCGAGTGTGGTTTAACCGGATTAAAGCGTTGATACAGTGGCTGGGACATTGTCTTCTCGTCCCCCTGATGTTCCCCTCACACGCTGCTAAGTACTGACTGTAGGCCAGGTCGCACTCGGGCTCTTCATGGCACCGAAGCAGCGCCTGCCAGCAGATCAGCTGGGCGTCCAAAAACACCAGCACCCAGGGGAGAAGTGCCAGGAAACTGCACCAACATCTCATGCTTGGGAGGAAGTTCTGGCTCGGAGACGTGCAGGACAGTCACTGAATGTCACTTCACAAGTTATCCACAAACAGGCCAAGAAAAATACACGTTCATGCTTGGAGAGAGTTCAGAATATGAATCATTAGAATAAGAAAACTGTTCTCACTCTGGTAGATTTTGATTGGCTGTCAGTGTTTCTGTCCACTTCAATTGAATTGAAAAAGCAACTATTGTTTTTGGTGTGTCCAGGTAGATATACATGTAGCAGTGCTTTCTCCAGCAGCAGGGCAATCCCTTAGTCTCCCTAAACAAGTAATCCACACAAAGTCCCAAGAAAAATGCACTTTATAAATAAATGATCCCAGGTTGTGCATGTGTTTCCAGTCCTCCTCTCCACGCGTGGCTGCAGAAAACAGCAACAGTTATTCCGGGAAGCATGTCCGTTCAAAAGTGGGAATAACAATCCAAACTGCAGTCCGTTTCTGCTCCATGGTGCAGATTTGAGGTGGGTATGGAACGTGCCACAGTTATCCAAAGTTATCCAAAGTTAACGCGCACCCTCACCACAGTGATTATTATCCAAAAACTCAGCTTGTAAACTCATCTGTCCTGCCATGTTCCCTCTCGAAATCTCTCCCCAGCTCTACAACTCTTAAACTCCATTCTTGTATCGCGATGTTGTTGTGGTTTGTTTTAGTTGTAAGAGCTTTCTGTCTGTCGCATTTTGTCCCGCTGTATGTGCGTCTTTGTCCCTCTTCTACGCTTCACGGTCCGCCGAGCATTTCCCCACAACACCCCTCCTCCTGTCGAAAAAAAGAAAGAAAAGTTTTCCTTCCCCCCTCTCTCTCTCTCTCTCTCTCTCTCTCTCTCACTTTCCTCCTGTATAATCAGCACTCACCTC